CTTTCATTAGCATAAAGCTGATTTTAAGGAATAACAGCCGATTACTTAAGATTAATTTTATATTTTTATTGAAAAGTTTAGTTCAAAATTGGAGTTCTATAAGATCATTAAAAAGTATGGATATTTTAACGTTCAATTCTATGAATATGCTTGAGTAACAAACAGTGGCGGCTGTACCTTAAGTGCACTCGTGCGCTGAACCACCAATTCAAAAGATTTGAAAATTACAAAATATTACTTCATCTGTATTTTTAAATTATCATTTTAATATTTATTTTCTAAACATACAAAAACGTATAAAAATTAAATTTCTAATTATTATAGTCAAAAAGTTTGAGCGCTTTAATACATTAATATCTCGTGCGCTTCGGCGAGTGCACGAGGACTCCTAATACATCTTGTATGAGATACGCATTAATACGCCTGGCGCGTGAAACAAAAGATAGTTCATAGAAATGTACCGAGTAACGAGTCGGTTCTCGAGCGCCGCACGAGCGGCCGAAGATTACCGAGAACACCCGATGTATGACGAATTGGAATTGAAAAGAATCAAAACTTTTTTCCGATATACCATGCACTTTCTGTGCTTAGTATTGAAAAAATAATTATACAAACAATATCCGATTTTAATAAAAATTTGATTGAATATTTCGCTTCAGAAAAATGTCGTCGCATTGATTTAATGTATAATAAATAAACATAGTTTATGTCAATTGGTTTTTGTTGCATTTTCTAATTTAATATTTTAGTAAAGTGCACCACCAGTTCGATAACCCACCAGCCGCCACTGGTAACAAACATTACACTTAGTCCCTGTTAATAGCCAACCTGAACACTATCAGTTTCAACGTATCTCCGTCACATATAAAAACAACTTCGAAACTGTCCATTCTAAGTTTTCGATGAAGAATCATACTATTTACACGGTCACCGCGACTCCACCTACAAGCAGAACGTCTTTTAACATCTATGGAAACAAATAGAAACTTCAATACTTTTATTTTAGATGCCATCAGTCAATAAAATGAGTATGATATTTTGCTTGCGATTCTAATTTCTTTAGTCCTCTTGTTTAAATAATACATAACTAAGCATAATAGATATTATCGAACGTACTTATTGAACTCTAAATTTCTGGGCAGGTGATGTGTTTGGGAGAAATCTTGGAAACTGATGTGGAACGTACCTTAGGTGGTAAAATCTGGTAGTTCAAGTTACGGAGGATATAATATTATTGTTAAAGAATTATCTAGAAGTAGAAAAATATTTGAAAAAAAGTTGAAAAAAGGTGATTTCTTGTTCTTGACAATACTTTAAAATATAACGTTAAGTGGATTAACCTCAGACAATAAATTAAAAACCAGTTTGAAAACAAACATGCATATAATATGTATATTATTCATAAACCCAAAAATGCTAGCAAATTTTAATGAATATACGAGAATAATCACAATACATCAGAAATATTACACAGGATTCTTGTTTAAGGAAAATTTTGAGGTAAAATGGCTAACAACGAATTCAAAAAGGGATTTTACCTTTAAAGGCTATGAATTCTTATAAGATACTGTTACTTATTGTCGTCAAGAAAAAGTTTGATTTACAACAACCTTTATTACGGGGCAAAACGGTTATTAAAAAAGAACAAGTTTCAGGACATTCCACCCGTAAATAATTTATTTCAATCAATATGACATTTTAATCGAGTAAACGAAACTAATAATTTCGGATAACTACGTCTTATGTTATTATTTTCAATACTTTACGTTATCACGATAGTTTTTATGATAATAAAACGCGTAGTAATCCGAAAATTAGTAACATTTAAATGAATACTCGCGAAAGTCTTAGATGTCATAATTTTAACCAATTTTTTACGTACATGCTGTTGCAGCCTATAGTAGACCTATTGGTCTTCTTCCAAAATGTATTTTGTTCAAGCCTCATTCAATTAATCCTAACTCCAATCGTATGTTTACATTCGTCCGTTCACTCGTACTATCACAATTTATTATTATTGTATATCTATATAAATATTATTATAAACACAAAGCGTCATTGTCGTAAAGAGAACACTGTTATGCGTTAACAATTAACCTAAGATAATATGGGTAGCTGTTAATCAATATATTATATCAGCGTAATAAAAACCTACTATTATCTAAACTAAAATTGAGAACAGTCAATAAATAACTTAAATAATAGCTCGCGTATACATCAGTAGTGCTATATACGAGAAGCAATTGAGTAGCACCGCATACATTGCTTAGTAGTTTGAATGACACTGCGACTGTGTTGAATGCACTCGAACCAATCAAAACTTGATATACTTGGATATAAATCCTAATTTTATAACGCCTAGCAATAAATTTACTAAGTTTCTTTGACGCTTATTCTTATACATGTGTTTTATTACATCTGCACGTCAAACGGTCTATTGAGTTCTGATAATTTGTTACCTAGCCACGGCTATGATCTGGTGATCAACAAATCAAAACCTAGACACCTGGTTGAATCTATTCAGCAATAAACAATATGTCTAATGAATTATGGAACGCATTTAACATTCTCAAACGTATATGTATATTTCATAACAGAAATATTGTACCGTTAAACAATATCGTTAATATAAAATTTAAATTATATAAAAGAAAAACAAACAAGAATACCGTTTTTATATGCACACTATTTGATAACCTTTTAAACTATTATATTCCACACATCTTATTGTCACAAAACAAGTCTTTCAAAAAGTTTCGAACGAAAATAAAAAATAAAGAATATTTGAAATTCGAACAAATGTTTTTAAAAACGGGCGGAATAAAACGAGTTAGTATGCAAGAAAAATACAAGATTCAAATTACTGAGATGGGAGAGGGAAGAAACGTTACGACTTAGTATTATAATGGAGGTCCTATAAAGTTAATTGTGAATGTAACAACAAATATTTATATATATGAGAATGCGTACCTTATAATGTCTTCGGTATAAACGCTCCGTGCACAGAGTTATAATGAAATGTCAAACACGAGCGGCCTTTCGCGAGTGCGAACGTAAACTGTGCGATGTTCTGTGACCGGCTTCACGATTGGCGATCAGTTGTTTTTGTAGGGTGGCCATTTGTGGACGGACCGTGTTTTATTTGCAAAATTTGAGGCCAATAGGGACTTGATTTCTAATTTTTTCCAACACATATAAAAATAATTATAATTCATCTAAAGCTATACATTTGGTAAATATTTTGAGATTAAAATTAATAAAATTGTCAGATTATGTAATGTAAGTTCAAAATTGACCACTATATATGTGAACAAATGTCAATATAATAATATATGTAAATATTTTTCCTCTGTTCTCACATAACGTTGTCACGTGCGTCCAGTTGTCATGAATGACGCAGCTCAAGGTGGGTCCGTTCAGTCTCACTGTTAATATCATAATTGGGAATTGAATAGACGAAAAAACGTCTGATTCACGTCTGCTTAATATGTTAAAGATGTTACATAACACTCGTCTGGCAACCAAAATAGACGAATAGATTCAGTTAAAATGATAATTATATTATTACTATTATTAATATATTTAAACAAAAACCACGATAACTGGTGCCATTGAAATCTACTAAAAACAAAATCTTACATGAATCTTTTTACTATAATTATTTTTGTTTATAATGTGGATTAATTTGGTACAACGCGACGTAACATTCTGAAATATTGTTTAAGTTTTAATTATTATTTAAATAATAAATTTTGTATATTGTCAGTGTTGTGTTGTCCCGTATTTATTACGTCAAACGGCTTCTTCCTGATCAGGTGAATGTGAAGCTCCATAAAAATATTTAATACTATTCATAATTATGGCCATTGTTTACATTATATAACATACTTTGTAATATTTTATAAGTAAAAATACAAATAATAAAAACACAGACTATACGTCATATTATAATAATTATTATCACAGAGTCTACGATTATCTGTAAGTATTAAAAATCAAACAATATACATATTTAATTAAATTAACCTAAAATACACGGAAGGATTTCGATCAGATTTTGTGACCGTCAGTGGATGAAGTAAACTTTTCTAAGCTCATATTTAAGCTTAATAAATGAATTCAGAACATTAATCTTATTTTTTATCATTAATATTTTTTAATTATATTTTACTTATACTGTCTACAACAGCGCGTAGGTGTAACACTTGGTGGAGGCAAAAGTGACGTATAGATGTAAAAAATTCGTTGTATAAAAGCAAGACTATTAGACTAATGTCCAGACTCAAGTTGAAGATTGCATAAAAGATGTTAATAAGATAATTGGAGAAACATTCAAGGATATACGTGATGTAAAGTTCGTTATGAGAATTAAAATTATGATGTAACGAATGTGAAAAGTAAGTTCGATTTTATTAGTTCTTCCACGGAACGGCGTCCTTGAAAAATCTAAGTCTTAATAAATTACGTCACAAACACCTAACGAAATAAATCGATGACGTAACGATTGAAAAGAAATCTTGACATGTGTTAAGAGAAAATGTTGGTACAGAATAATATTAAGTCTTTGACATGAGAACGTAGGCAGTAGGCACTCGGTGTTTTGCATTGAAACTTTTGTCACATAATTAAAAAAAAATCATTTTTACATGCACTATATAAATATATATTTCAACTTCAAAAATTATATTGATTTGATAAGCCTAAAAGTGAGAATATTACAAATCTAGGAATGGACAAAAATCATAACTTAAATATAAATTTAATGAAAACAATTAAAACGAGAAGAAAACTTCAGAAGAAAAGGTAAAGATTTATTACTTTTCAAGATAAATTCCCTATACATGAATATTAAATATTAACAATCTCGCGTTTAAACAGTAGATAACGGTTGACAAATAGAAATGACTTCTGACAGTGACAAATACTTATGAAGGGAGAAAACTGAAAAAAAATCGCCATTAACTAAAGAAGAAGAAAACTAAAAAACAACAGAGCAAGTTATGAAACAAGTAGTTAAGTAAGTGGAGGAGATGAGATATTTGATTACAGATAAACTTATGACGTCATGTTTTTACAACATTTGTCTAATAGAAGCTGAATGTTTTAATTGAATGACAGTGGAGTGACAGTTAAGCCCGTCTATGTCTTTTAAAAAAGATGTATATATTATTAGCTAGAGGTTAAAAACAGATTTTACTAAGTGCTCCTTTGTATTATGTACGTAGGAATAATTTACATGGAATGAAAAGTATAAATTACGAACCTAATTTACCTACACAATATAAATTAAATGTACACAGCTTCATTCACATTGCACGGACTCGAATAAAAAGACGATGTCTTAATTAATACGAGGATTTGGATACGATGCTCAAAAGTTTTACAATCTGTATGCAGCTTCAAATATCGATAAAAATTAGATATCAATTAAGAAAAGAAGTACTTATCAACTTATGCACTAATGATATGAACGTTTAAGATTTCACTTATTATAAAAACTTATTAATTTTACTAAATTATATAAACGTAACCTATTACTTATTGTAATATATAAGATAATGCAATATTGATTAAACTTTACCATGAAAATAATAAAGTTAGGGACAATTGGAAATGGTCAAAATTTGACAGTTTGACACCTGACAGTTAAGGCATCGAACCAAGTTTTAGTGAATTGTTTTCATAAAATATTTGTAAATAAACATTATTGAGGTCTTCTTTAGACCAAGCTTTTACCAAAGACATTGCATTTCGAAACTTATTATGGCAAAATTTTTAGAAATAGTTTTAATGTTGTATGTTTTATGTTTTCTCAATATACGAGGAGACAAATGCAACTTGAATGTAAAAGTTGAACAGACTCTTAAAAATGTAGGATTTCATAGGTAAAATACTTTCATATTAAATAATGCTTCAGATGGAATGTCAAGATGCTTTTTATTCGTGTTTAATGTTTAAATTCAAACACGTAGGAATTTATATGGCCTCATATTATTCTATTAAATAATTTACTTTAAATATTTTTATATATGTTCAAAAGCCATTTTTATTCATTTGTATGATGGTTTTTCCAGAATCCTTAACTACACTATAACATTGCCAAGTGAAGATGAATTTTCCAAGTGGTTGTATGATGACTGCTTGATCGGGATAGAACAGACCCTGCCAGCGGGACTGTATGCCAGTCCTGATGAAGTTAAATCACATAAGTGTAAGGAATTGGTTAGTTAAAATATTTATTAGTTATGAATACTTATAAAAACTGATGATATTGATAGAGCCTAGCGGTGATCAAGTACTATATCTCGAACATGAACTGGTTAGATGGGACTACCACCCCTTAACAGAATATTGGTATGAATAAGAGAGCATATTTCCACTGATGAATAAGAGAGCTTGTTTGTCTTTATTCCCACCCTTCCCTCTTCCTCATCAACCAAGGTTGGTGACATATCTGGAACATCTCTAATGATAAGATCTGGTCTGTTACATGTGTTAAATATCCAATTTAATAGATTTTTAAATGAAATAAACACATTACATTCAATAGAACAAATAATCTTATCTCTTACCTTATATATATAGGCATTATTATAATTGGTTTGCCATTATTTTAGTTTTCAACACAATGGTTGTACAGTAACTTTTTTTATATATTTGACATTAGTATAATTTAACTAAATCTATATATATATTATATTTAAATCTTTGTTATAAAGTAATCAGAGTTTCCACTGCGTCATCAATTGTAAGGAATTCATAGAAAATGGTTATATGTTACTTATACTTGCTTTTTATTATATACTAAATGTAGTTCCCGCTTTACTTAATAGGTTTTTTTTTAAATTTGAATACAGATATTCTACAGAAATATAATTAGTGACACCATTGAGACAACAATATTGATATTAAGATTTGATCTACTTTTTTCCTCCCCCTTTTTATTTGCCTGTAGTTATTTTCATTAGTATCCATACTATTTTTGTCTTACAATGTACTGCTAATCTAACTACATATTTATATATACAATTCCAGATATACACCTTCTTTAAGAGTCCAGTGAATACAGAACTGTTTGCCGAGGACGCCACTCCTTTGATGATGCAGCTGTTCAGTCATATAACCAACAACACGTCACATATACACATACATGTACCCGTTCATGCCAGGTACCACCGAGCCAGGGCTGAGGGCAGGTAACTATTATTATATACATATAATATTAATAATGAAATCTAAGACTAAGTATTAATATAAATAAAACTAATATTTTATGGATTACTATGTGTATTTTATTATTTTAATGACTATATACTTCCGAAGTTTCGGTTACTGAAAAGTATGTTAAGGAAATGTAAAAGTATGTAAAGTGATCATGGACAGACGAGAGGGACATCTCATTGTCATCTATACGTTGTAATCCCAAAAATATTAGTTACATTTTATGTAATATTAATTTTTAGATTCTAATAAATTTTTCTTTGAATACTAAAATAAGAATATAGAAACCTATGTTAGTTTTGTTTGTTATAAGGGAAAAATTAACAAGAACTGATTTATATTTGATGTTTGAATTATTGACAGCTTATTCAATTTGTTAATTAGAGGAAATTGTTAAGTGAGATTATAACTGTCCAGTGTCCCTTTAATTTATTACTTTTCTGTGTAGTGTTGCTATATAAAATATTTATTAATTTTATTGTATATTTATGAAGTTTATTAAATTAAGGTTTAAAGACTGGTATACAATAACTAATAAAACATTAAAAATGACTTATTAAATCCTTAGTACAAGTCAGAACGCTTTCCTTAATAATAATCCAACAATTAAATCTTTATCAATGTCTTAATTACTTATATTTCAATGAAATTTCATATACATGTTAACTCTGATCTAAGTTTTCTTTTGTATGATCAATATAGTTCATTTTATGGGGGTTCATTAAGCTATTAGCTATTTAAATTTTTTTACCTTACGTACCTATTGTAGATATTGCTATTTCAATTTTAATAAATAAGAAATGTAAATTCAAGATCAAAGAAAACCTTACAATAATCTTTTGTTAATCAGTTTATAGTATTCTAGTAGTCTTTTAATACCTATTTTCATGTTCTAATACAAATCTGAGTTTAATCCCTGTTTTGACTAGTTTTTTTGGAAGCACTTTATAACTATGTTTCCATCAAAGACATAATATATACCAACACTATTCAAATTATATGAAACTAAGCAACAAAAATAATGTGCGGCTCAATAATATAAAAATATCTTTTAAGGATAAATAGTCCCAACTTGAGCAAATTCCCCTACTTAAAACAAAAATAAATCTTAAATAGGTGTTTTAAGACATATTTTTTTTTCAGAGCAGTAAAAAACAACATCCCACATCCAAAGTTATATCTATACTGTCCGAAGAACAAGTTGGATCAGTGCGGGGACTTCTACAGTGAACTGTCACAGTCTAACAGCTTCTGTCCCGACCATGTGTCACTGAAGGTGTGTCATTGGAAACAATTACCAGCGGTTGTTGTGAGTAATGTTTATATTACTTGTATAGAAATACTAATTAAATCATCAGCCTTTCAGAGCCCACTGCTGAGCAAAGACCTCTTCTCACATGGAGAAGATTTGAATGTTAATCACCACGCTTGCTCCAGACGGGGTGGTGATTTTAAACTTGTAATTTGAAATTTTAAGTCCAGGTTTCCTCACGATGAAAAGGAAAACCTTCGTCTGTCAGTTGTGGCTAAATACCCTTTGTGGTACACGTGACTTGGAAAAATCACGTTGGTATTTGCCAGGTTTCGACCGACGAATATAATCTTTAGGCCACCACAACCTGTGTACTACTAATGTGTTTTACTAATTTATTATAGTACTTATAAATACATAAATTTTGTGAGGAGCTGTAGTTGTGTTAATTCTTTCATATAAAATATACTAAGCGGATTTTCATGAAACTTTAACTAAGGCATCAGAACTGTTTGAGAATCATTTATCCCATCGGTGTATGTCATAACAGTTGTATGTAAAGACATGTCACATATGATAAATGTCTCTAACGACTGGACCACTATTATCATCATCATCACTCAGCCTATAGCAGTCCACTGCTGGACATAGGCCTCTCCCAACACGCGCCATAATACTCGGTCTTCTGCCTTCCGCAGACCACTATTATACTAAGTACAAATTAGTTTCTCTATAAGCATATGTAAAAGACAAAGCCAAGGGAATCGTCGACAAAACATAGTACATTTATGTTATGAAATGTAGTTTATGTAATCAAAACCTCGCTCATAATGAAATATGTTTTTCTTGTTTTCAAGGTGTCAGATCCACTCGAGTGGCATGTAGCCGTGGGCAACTCAGATCATTACTACATAGTGACATTTGGTACAGTGATTGTGATGTTAGCTGGGACGATACACGTGTTGAAGACTGTACACAGATACAAGATACAGCTAGAGAGAAATAAAAAGCAGAGGAAACGAACGTAGAGAAATATGAAAATACTATCCACTAGTCATTATAATAAATTATATTTAATATTATTTTTAGTTTAATTTCTAGTTCTTGATTCTATTGTGCCAGTTATAAATATAACCTGTATAGAAAGATCACAAAGAACTTCTTTTTTTTAGTTATAAAGTATTTAGCATAATTTTCTATATAAACTTGTACTGACTTTTCTATTGGTAGTTGATATTTAATATATATTTTTGGTTTAATTTTTGGTTCTTGATTCTATTTGTTGTAAATATAACCTGTGTAGAGAAAACACAAATGCCTCTCATAATTCGTTTTTTTTAAAGGCTATTTTCTTAGTTACAAAGTACATACTTACAAGATTGTTTTTTAACTAAAATTTACATTTTTCTGTCTGGTATATCTTTTAATTCATTTAAATATTGCTTGACTGTGATTCCACCTGATGTTAAGCGAAAATAAAGGTCTGAAACCACTATCCTATAAGAAATCAAACTGTTCTAATCTTGTACGCATGAGGAAATTAGTTCATCCTGATACTGACACTCCAAAGTGTATCATAATAAATTCCGAGGGGTCTTTAGAAAACATCATCATAATACATCTACATCATTACGGTTATGAACAAGTCGTGGTCTCCAATAAGTTAACCTGTACTTCTCAACGAAGTCTCAAGCTGTGGGATCACATTTATTAGAACCTGCCATAACGTGAGAGTAGTATTCCACACCTGGCAGGTCTTGTGATCTATATAGAAAAAAGTCCCCTTTTGGGTGGGCATCTAGTTTTGCATTTTGCATGTCATAACTTTGGACTCAATGAACTATAATAATTAGGGTACCAGGCTACCTCCTACCTCATAACTGTAAGATATCGATGTATTTCAAGTTGAAATCAATACTGATATGTTAGAGAGAGGAAATAACAGAAATGGACCTTCTTTGTAGGCTCCTTTCTAAGGCATACGTTAGCAAGCTTCCAAGATTTATTCAGTGTAACAATTATTAAAGAGAGATGGTAGTCGTGTAAGAATATAAGACAAATCAGGTACACATGTTTTTAACAATAAAAAATAGATTTAAAGGGTATTTCAGAACTATAGAAGTTTTCTTTTTGAAAGCTTATTCCGTTGGGTTAAGGGTTTCGAATCAGGAACTGAGATTATATTCCGTAAATTACGAGAACTAAAACATAGTAGTGAGGACGCAAGGGTAGATAGTATGGACTATAGACTCTTCGAGCGCAGATTCAGTTTTTATTGTGATAATGTTTTTAAATTGTTCATTATATAATATTTAGAAAATGGACGAAAAATCGTCACTGAAAAGAAAGTTGTATTGCACGTAAGCGCCCTCTCTCGGTGATAGTTTGAACACAGATAGAAGACAAGCTTAGAGAAGTGAGGAGGCCATCTATGAATCTTAAAGGGAAACATAAATAAATTTTCATATTAAATTCTTAACTCTGAATAGTCTAGTCGAGGGGGAAAACTCCTCACTCGACTATATACATTTTTAAAGTATATTTGGTGTAATTTATTGTCGCATACTGTATTCTGTATCTCGTATTATTATCGGGCGTCAAGTTTGCATATACGTATAAGGCCGTGTTCATTTGTAGGGATTAGGGAATTTCATACTATCGACGTTAAATCGTCGTTCGACCGCAAAGCGCAGACCGGGGCGGACCAGGATTAGAGATCGTTACCGGGACCTCACGATCAGACTCGTGGTACAGACGGAACATGTGACTGAGCCCCGACGAGTAGTGTGACAGACAGAGACACGCGCTGGGACGAGTAGTATGAGCGGGGGACCTCAAGGAAGATAAAAATCAATAGTTTGGGACGGAGAACCTGAACGGACGGTCGACAGATATAAGATATTTTTTGTAAGCGGACACCTCGACCGTTCCCGGGGCTCGGTCGGCCGGGGGCGGCCGGGGGCGGACGGCGCCGCGGCGCTCAGATATGGATTTAAGATTAACGAGGGCACGCAGCGCGGCGGGGAGCGGCGGGCGGCGTGTTTACGTGCGGGTGCAGGGCGTGCAGGCGCGGATCGATGCTGGGCGGGGCGCGGAGGGTGCGGGGCGCGGGGCCAGCGGGGCGGGGCGAGCGCCGGCCGCCAGTCCGCCTCGGGGCCGCGTCCGCGCGGTCGTCGCCTGAGAGAGTCGTGCGGCGGCCGGAGTGTCTCCGCGGGCGCCCGGCGGCGGCGGCGAGCCTCGCGCCGCCCGCCTCCATGCCGCGCGCGGCCGCAGCGCGCCCCCGCCCCGCGCCCCCCTCGAGCCTACCCAGCGCCGCGCGCGCAGCTCCGCGCCCTCGCTGTGCGACCGCCCAGCCCCTCGTCTGCGGCCCGTGTTCCTGTGGGCGCGCCAGCGAGACGGCGAAGTGCAGGAGGTCCGCTGCGAGGACTACGACCCTCGGAATCGTATCCGCATAGCGCGAACTCCCTCCGGTTGGCGCGTGATCCCGCGCACCGAGATATATAACTCTATCCGTGTTCCCCCGCCCCCCGCGCCGCCGGTGACCCCTCGCGAGCGTCGCCGGCGCAGACGTTCCCGTCGTCGAGCGCGCTCCTTAGCGTCCGTTGCGCCTCCCGAGCCGGCCGAGCCGTCCCCTCGGCCCGCGCCCTCCGTGTGGTTGCAGCCCGACCTGGAGTCCCACATCCCGTCCCACACGATCGCGGTGCCGCGGCCGCCGCCCACTCCCTTGGACAACCTGCTGGCGGTGGCCGAGCTGGAGTTCAACCAGCAGCGCGGCGAGCGTCTCCTCGAGCTGGACGGCCCCTCGTCCTACCCCTTCTTGCCGGGCGAGGAGGTCGCCCGTGACGTCATGTCTTTCGATCTCGGTGAACCGAAGCGAGCCGACGACACGATGTACTTCGATCGGAAGGCTCCTCCCGACCGCGCCGAAGAGTACGCCAGTGAGATCGGTGCTCATAAAGATCTGTTCGAGACCATCAGCGAGGTACATTACCTGCCGGAGTTGGGAGGACCGCACGATGAAGCTCTGCTGGAATCGTTAGTTGAAAAGGGATGCGAAGACAACCAGATACTCGGGCAGGCTCTCGATAAGTTGGCTCATCTTGTTCACGGGTCCGGAGAATATGCAGAGGAAGAGGCCGATATGCTGCTGAACAACGCGCCAGTGTCGGATATTATAAACCGCCTGGAACAGACGCTGGAATCCCCCGGACAGAGCAGTATCACCGCTGCTCAGGGACTCCTACATTTGCATCATATCGGTGATCACATGACACAAGCGGACCCCGCTCAAGAAGTAGAACAATCTTACATGACTGAAGAAGTATTTCCGCCGCCGGAAACGACGCAATGTCCTGTCGAGACCGTGCCCGCTGTCATCGAGCCACAAGAAGCGAATGAAGACAATCAAATTGACTATAATATTGAAGTTGAAAAGAAAGAACAAGGTGAAGTCAGCGTCGACGACTCTAGTTACAACGAACCTGAAGCTGACACGAAGGACACGTATGAAGAAAAGACATACGAAGACCCACAGGTTGAATCAGATCCTGATCAAAGCGAAATTAACACAGTCGATGAACCACCTAGTGAAGAACAGCCGCTGAACGCAATATGTCCCCAAAAAAGTGAACAAATCCAAGAAGATCCTGAAGAGGACACCGCTGAAGTCGCCCTGGAAAGTATTCAACAAATTCAAGAGAGCATTCCACCAATCCAGGACGTACATGACGAATATGATAAAGATATTTCAGAAGAATTATCGACCAAAGATGATCAACCTACAGATTTAAGCACAAAACATGTTGAAAAGAACATTCCTCCCTTCATGCTCGTCAACGATAATGACACTTCGCATATTCATGACAACATGTCCGTTAATGACGAACAACCTAAGGATTTAACGGTCCACAGGCGCCTGCCGACACCGCACGCCTCGCCGCGTAGAACGGACGTGCCGCGAGCGCCGTCCAGGGAGTCGGATGCGATGCAATCACCACAACCCAGCGGCATCCCGGCTGTACCGTCCTCGCCAGAAATATTCACGATGCCGCTCACCAAGAGCAAACAGACACTATTTTTGGAAACTCTTTTATCCTCTCCCTCGCCTAAGATGTACACGTCCGAAGTTACGATAACAAAACAACAGTGTGAACCGTTAAATTTGGGAAAACATAGAAAGTCTGCCAGCCCCACTGTGTCCAGCTGTTCCGACGAGATGAAGAAACTCAATAAAGAGTTCGGTGAACCTCAGGAGAAAAAGTTGAGACGCGAGTCCACCGAGGACTTGGCGAAGATAAGTAAGGTGTTCAAGAAATGTGGAGAAGAACAGTTATCTAAAAAACCTGAGAAACTCCACAGTCAGACTTACGACGAAGCGACACCTCAACAACAATTCCAACTATTGAAATCGAGTCCAGAATTTCACATTCCTGATCCTCTATTAGTTCCTAAAGATAAATTAAATTCAATATTGGCTGCTCCGGGCAGAGAGATACCCGCATTACTGTTACAAAGGCCGGAGCTGAGATTACCGGAAGCGTTCGCTTACCCGGCCGTCTTACAAGACCCGGACATACTCGTCATATCATTATCACAGTTGGAGAATATTATCGAAAACGAGGAGAAGAATCTGACCTCGCCCAAGCCCAAGGAGAAGGAATCGAAACTTACTTCATCGTCTAAGAGCTATCCGCGAACAGAGCACACGAGCACACCTCAGCCGGATCAAACTAGTCAACCGAAACCCATACCGTCGATGGACGCCCTCGCCGGCGATATAGACGCGGCGACCTCGGCCGCGCTCAACCAGATGCTGTGGTTACCGTACTTAAGTCAGCTGGAGGCGATGGCGGCCTGCTCTCAGAACATGGACTTCCTGAAAGCTTTGAATTCATCTGGCTACACCGGGCCCAACTACCCAGACCTCTCCCAGATGTTCAACCCCTCCGCTCGGTTCATGAACCCGGGAGGCTTTCCCATGATGCCCACTATGGATTACGATAACAGATTACAGTTCGCAATGTGGCAGGAGGCCATGTCGCACGCCAACGCCTCGTCCTCTCAGAGACCTAAGCCAACGATGGCCGAGCAAATGAAGGAATTGTCGAAATCGAGCGACGTTCAGAACCCATTCGTGCATTCCACTAAGAGCCATCCCAACAAACCGCACTCCTCGGCGCGGACGAGCCCGATAGCTCACAACTACAACAACCAGAGATCGATGGCCCACAATCCGTTCCTACAAGGGATGTATCCCGGCATGAACCCGAACATGAGGCCCAATATACCACTACCGGGACTGCAGATACCGTACTTCAACCCTCAGATGATGAGCAACCAGCGCTCCCCTCGCACCGGCCAGCAGAAGAGTCCGAGCAGTCCGTACTACCCGAACAACAACTACCTGCAGTCTGTGAAGCAGTCGGAGTCACAGGCCCACCAGCGAACAGCGACCAGCCAGGAGGCCGCGCGGCCAAGGATCAGTGTGAAGTCGCTGCACAACCTGCTGGAGCCGGCGGCGGCCGCGGCCTCGGTGGGGGCGCGCCGGACGGCCGGCACCCCGCTCGGCCGGCGGAGAGAGGAGCCCGAGGTCGGCAGCACCACGTCAGGGGAGCCCCCGGCACACCTCCCGCCGCACCCACACGACCCCTCGTCCTTCCACCTGTGGCATCCCTTATTCGGCAAGTAAGTCTTTTAGTCTATTATAACTTTTATTTTCGTATTATTCTGTTCAATACACATAAACTATGAGTTATGCTCCTTTCTCGTAACTTCAAATGCCGCCGTCATATTTTCCACATACCGATGTCTCGGGAACGCGACTAGATAAAAAGGATGCCAATAATAAATGCAGATATCTGCACATACTTTATACGTGCCATGGTTACAAATTAACTTTTTGTTATCCGAACGTCCTTTAAATATGAATTAACGTGGCGTCTAAATGGTTTTTTGCAAAAACATTTAAAATTCATTACGTCTTTAAGAGCTGGCGAATATTTTCGTTGAATACAATAACTTAAAAAAAACGGCATCGTCAATAATATGTAACATATTATTCTATGAAAGACAATTTTTATATGGCATAGCTGCATACTATTTGATAGTAATAGGTATACAATTATTTTAACTCACAACTTCTAAGTATGAGAGTAAATCATAACGCGTCAGTACCGTCCACGATACAAACCAATATCAAATCTCATGTACCGACCAGTTATATTAAGTAACTATATATTGTCAAAGTTCTCACAGAGCCATTAAATTCATTACACCATTATATCCGGCCATTACACATAACTACCGATTTCTTTTAAAGAAACATTGTTATAACGAAGTATTAATTATACATATGTATTGTATTATCATCGTTTATACGATGAAGTAGCGTTATTTCTTTATATTATACAAGCCTCTGGCCCCGGAGTCGTTTGTCCGTTAATCGCACTTCGATCGGGTTTATTTGAGATCATATTGTCCGATTAACAAATTTATTTTCATATCTATTGAAAGATCTTTTCTTTTGAATGCTCTGCTTACTCTGTGTACTTCATTGTAAAAATAAAAGTATAATTTTACTAAATTATAACAAAACAATGAGAATCAGGTCCAGTGGTTGATATACTGGTAAAACTTTTCTGTTACACTGTTGTCTGTTGGCCAATTACATTATTATGTCGTAAAAAGCAAAAGCCTAACAACACAATTACATTTTTCCGGTCAACAATAAAGTGAAATTTAAAAAGATAATTCGCTTTAATTATATCAATAATAACGAGAGCTTTCAACATTTCCCACGTAAATGACTTTTTAAACTAAAATTACACATTTTATGGTACAAGACCATTGCTCAATTAAAGAACATATATACAAAGTGTGTTGTAACAAGACTTTGTATTTAGGGAACATGTTACACAAACAGCCTAAAGGATAACATTTTGTAAAAATTTCATTAAAATTCAACCCTTCATAAACCAAATATTATACAAACAAGGAAACAAAAATGTTAATTGCTGGAAGCAGTCTGAATATCTCATTCGAACCTTTTAACTTTGTTTTGTACGGTTTTATACAATTTTTAGACCTTAAATTTTCTTAACTAATTTTATAATTGTAATTTCTCTTAAGGATTCTTGTAAAGATTTCTCGTTAATGCTACTAAAATAGAAACAGTAAAATTATTACTTCAGACGTGAAAATTGTTTCTCTTCGGTCTTACTTATTTTATATTAGCTAGTTTTTACAAATAATTTTAGCTTTTGTACCTTATATACATAAAATACGAAACAGATTATCGTCACACAACATACGTAGCGTTAACAGTATCTACTTTTCATTCATAAATCTTTGTACATAGTATTAAGGTTATTGAATGAGAAGGAAAACGCTACGTTTAAAATAACTTTGAAAACTTACACTTAGCATAGTTATTACATTTCCTAAATAACAGATATGATGACTTCAAATCACTGTTAATCGAAAATATTTAGACAGTTTTCAAAACTACCATCTGGTCAATATTAACTCATTTCAGTCCTTCCTTAAACTTCATCTATAATAATTGAGTAGTTTATCTGTTTTAATTTGAGACTCTAAGTCACCATTCTTGAACATTTCTCAAAATGACATCGTCTGACCCAAATAATTCCAATATAAACACTAAAATACGGAACTAAATCTATCGCTGGCATTTCTAAAACGAATTTGACATTCTAAACTTAGAGGCTTATTTCAGACTTAAAAGCTTTTGTTCTAAGAAATATATTTGGTGAATTCTAAATAAAATAATAGGGCGACAACTTTGATTCGTTATCCAAAATATTTTCAAACAATATTATATTAAGCGAATTAGATATGATGGGCTACTTATTGGAGTTATCAAATTATTGTTATAAATATATAAATATTTTTAATACAAATAATGAAGAAATACATGAAGCATCATATAGTAAAGAATGTCTTTATTTGGAAGCTCACTAATGTACGATGTACTATGACGTCTATGATTTTTAAAGTAATATGTATATTCAGTATACTTAAAACAAGTTTCCATTGTCACACTACATACGTAGCGTTAATAGTTTTTCATTGATAGATCTTCGAACATTATATGTATTATCGTAGGTTATTGAGTGAGAAACGAGAGACGCTTCGTGTGTAGTGTAATGGAAACTTTGAGTAAGGATACTGAACTCTTATTTAAGTGAGGATTCCTTCCCAGTTCGTATTATATACAATACAATACGGTATTTAATTTCTACAGAGCATCGTATTGTTCGTATATTTTCGGAACAAACCAAATGGGGTTGCTTCGCTAGACACAAATAATATTAAAATCTGAGCTCTCAGAACACTTGTAAACACAATTAATGTGAATTTTAATTTAGACAGGAAAAAAATATATGAAATTCGGTAGTGATGTAATAATTGTTTATATGTAAGTATATATGTACACATTGTATTGTTTCCTTTGACATGCCGCCGATGGATCAATTAACTCGGTAGTATTTGATTAGAACCAGTCATGCTATAGTTAAATGTATTACCAATATATTAAGATATCACTCAGCTACAACCGATGTTGTATAATTAATATTGATCGATAACTATGAGGTCGAATTTAATAAATTAAATAAAACATAACCAACCTCTTTATTAGATATTCCATTTTTAAAAATTTACTCTATCAACCTCTTTATAAGATATTCCATTTTTAAAATTTTACTCTATCGACCTCTTTATTACATGTTCCATTTTTAAATTTTCTTTCTAACAAAGAAGTCCTTGAAGTATTAATAATTGAAGTTCTTCATATTCAAGGTCCACTGTCCAGTTAGTATTATTTATTAAGTACAGTCCTATAAAGAAACGGGTCGTGGGAAACAACAACTGCTTAATTGTAAGTCTTAAATCAATACGCGTTATACATTCAACCAAATTAAGTTACTGATGGTAAATGTAAAGGTTAGAAGTATCGGGTACAAGCGTATTTTCAAAGGTAATCTAGATTCTAGATAGCACGAAAGGCGAATTACTTTGGACGATTCACCAAAATGTCAAACCGAATCAGACAGACATATTTAGCAAATGTCAAACATGATTGATGTCACTTAATGGCGGCTCTTTCTAGCGAATCTTTAAACGATTTTAAAATACTGTAAACTGTATTCAATTCTTTTGTGTATGTCGAGTTATTAAATTAAAAATATCACGAATTAAAAAAAAAAAACTGTTTACTAATTACTCACGAGATCACAGAGCATCACTTATTTTAAAACGTAATGGATTTTAGTTGTATTTTTTTTTTAATTAAAATCTTTTTTAAACATAGTCGTTAATTATCCATTAATTTTAAGTTTTCAAGCTGATCGTGTGGATGTATGTTATGTTTTGGTGAGGGTATATTTCATTTTATTACACGAACTCGTCCCAGACGTTATCGTGGTCCGCCTGTGATTGGTCCTTGGGGGAAGATGAAATGTATTGACTAAAGAGCGTTATCTTTCAACGATATTGTTTAAAGTAAATTTATTTTTATAATGCTCTATATCTATATGTTTTTTACTTATAATGTTCTGTTCCGTGACGTATTACTAGTCGTGTTAGTGTTTCAATTGTACATTGCAGTACCGTGTTCGTGTATTACATCCGTCCGTCTCCCTCTCGCACGGGTCGTAACTCCTCACACGCAGGCCGGTGACTGCGCCCGGGACAGTTCCTTGTATTTATCGATTTTCCTTGAAATACGTATCATACATTCGGATACAAGACGGTTTGACCTCATTCACTATCTTACACACATTTTCTCTATTTATCAAAAGGCTGCGTTCGATATATTACGTTTTAAATATGTTCGTCGTATTTTTTTTTTCAAAATGTCTCCGGTTTGTTAAAAACTTTTTTTTAATTTACATCATTAAAAATTTCCTCCGTCTCTCCGACGTCACTGAACACTTCCCTCGGCAGTCTAATTAATTTTTTTTCACCTTCATAATTCTAGCTATTTAGCTCTCAGACATTTCACGGTACATAGAACTATATAATATACTCACGGCCGCTGGGCTGGAATAATGTAGGAGACTGCGAGGACCATTTAGAAATATGTATTTATATTTTGTATAAAAGATTTCGACTTCACTCTATACTATACAAGATTATATAATATATATTTATATATTAAACTCACACATATAACAATAACTACTTCTAGGATCGCACGGCTGGTTTTAATTACGCCAATTAACCAGCAGTCATTAATTTGTTTAGTGCCTGCGATAAAATTACCTAACAGAAACACATATAATACATACATAGGTTTAACATTCAAGGTTCTACATTCATTTATATATTGAAAGACATACACGACTCTCCCGTCAACAGCGCCCCTAGCGGAGCTGGCAGACAACTAAAATAATAATAATTCTTATTAGACAATCTTTATATTCAAATCAATTAAAAAAAATAACAAAACTTACTTTTTTCAAACAATGAAAAAACAAACAATTGACTAACATCCATTATATATTTTTAAAGTCTATATTCCATAAACAGCATACCTAGTTCTGAAAGAAGTTTGCGATGTAATTGAAAAGCGCTTCATTGGATTCCATTGTTTTCATTTTAAAAAAAAAAACAACAACAACAAAGACAGCGGGATTTTAAACAAAACCGAATACCGGAGTTTGAATT